TCGAAAATCAGTGAAACCCAGATAAAACCCAATTCAAAACCCAGTGACATCCAATTCGAAACCCAGTGAAATCCAATTCGAAACCCAGTGAAACCCAATTCGAAAATCAGTGAAACCCAGATAAAACCCAATTCTAAACCCAGTGAAATCCAATTCGAAACCCAGTGAAACCCAATTCGAAAATCAGTGAAACCCAGATAAAACCCAATTCAAAACTCAGTGAAATCCAATTCGAAACCCAGTGAAACCCAATTCGAAAATCAGTGAAACCCAGATAAAACCCAATTCAAAACTCAGTGAAATCCAATTCGAAACCCAGTGAAACCCAATTCGAAAATCAGTGAAACCCAGATAAAACCCAATTCAAAACTCAGTGAAATCCAATTCGAAACCCAGTGAAACCCAATTCGAAAATCAGTGAAACCCAGATAAAACCCAATTCAAAACTCAGTGAAATCCAATTCGAAACCCAGTGAAACCCAATTCGAAACCCAGTGAAACTCAATTCGAAACCCAGTGAAATCTAATTCGAAACCCAGTGAAGTCCAATTCGAAACCCAATAAAATCTAATTCGAAACCCAGTGAAATCCAATTCGAAACCCAGTGAAATCCAATTCAAAACCCAGTGAAACCCAATTCGAAACCCAGCGAAATCCAATTCGAAACCCAGTGAAACGCAGTGAAATCCAATTAGAAACCCAGTGAAACCAAATTCGAAACCAAGTGAAACCCAGTGAAACCCAGTGAAACCCAATTCAAAATCCACTTCGACCCAGTTACGCCAATATTAATAACATCAAACCTCGCCAAAAAAAGAGAAAGAAACAGGTCACAGGATTGTCTTTCTTAAACTCACGAGATCGCTAAAAGCATTGGGGGGGTATCAATCACATAATAGCCCTGAAGAACTATTAGAAACTGTGAAATGTATCTTCGCAACAGAAAAACGTAAAAAAATTACAGTTTGTCTTAACGAGAGTTATTTCATGCAACTATGTCTTCTCGTTGATCAACGATTAAAAAAGTTAGCCTGACTGGATAATAGCGCATGAAAATGGAGGCTCACAATGAGCTGATAGTAAGTAAAGATGTTTCAACATGCCAGGCTGTTAGACCGAAGTTAATGGTAGTCACTTAAATAGGCAGGGACAGGATTATTTTTTACTTCTTCTCTTTCCTTCTTATTGTTCAAAGAAACGAGCGTAAAAAAACCTTCAAAATTGGACAAGAAATAATTTGAAGATCGCAAAAATCAAAGGATTGCTAAAAAATAATCCTTTATCTTTTAAAGACGACTAGTGGTGTCTTTGGTAACTGATTTTCATGCATTCAAGTAATCCTTAGAAATTTGTATATATATAATGTATATTATATATATATGTATATGATAAGTATATATAATATAGAGATCGTAACGAAGCCACCACAGTAACAGGGGAACTTATTGTTGTGACTCACCCATAAAGTCTGCTGTCCCGCAAGCTGCTCCTGCTCCAAATAACATAGAAAGCACAATTACGACATGTAGAATCACAATTGTCATCGTATTAATGAAGTTCAGCTTAAACAATTTACCAGAACCATTAAAATAACGATTTATTCAAATAATACATGTACAATATGCTAAACAAATAAATGTAGTAATATCCAGTTGGCCTTGGAGGGAGAGAATACGTAACGGTAAGACTACGAAGCTTCAAGCTTGGCGTTAATGATGGGATCAAGTGCGTTATTTGCATACTTGGCCAATTGCGTTTTGTAGGCTATGTTAATAGGCAACTTTTGTATTATAGACTTCATATGCTGGGAGGTGATTTAGAGGAGATGCTTTGTTAATTGCGAGAGGTGATTTTCTGATGGGGTTTGGGAATTTTTTTGGGGGAGGAATGGGGATGTTTCTGTAAGTAAGAAAAGTGACGTTTCATTGTTTCGTTTTGGTGAAATTTGTAAATTTTCAGTGGGGTGAATTTAGAAATGGAATTACTGAAGTTTGGATATTTGGAAGTTTAAGGAATTTAGGGAATTTGGGGGGTTGAACAGTTTCGAATTTGGGGATTTCACAATTTGGATAATTTTGGCGATTTTGGGCTGTGGGATCAGAAAAATTAGAGTTTGGGAGAGTGGGAATTGATGAAGTTCAGATTTTAAGAATTTCAGAATTTCTGCATTTGAGGATTTTGGGAATATAAAAATTTGTGACTTTGTCAATTTATCAATTTGTCAATTTGTCAATTCATCAATTCATCAATTCCTCAATTCATCAATTCGTCAATTCATCGATTCATCAATTTATCAATGTACCAATTTATCAATTTATAAGTGTATAATGTATCAATTTATCAATTTACCAATTTGTAAGTATGTGAAATTAAGAATTTTAGTATTTGTGATTTTGCAAACTTGCGTTAAAAATTTACTTTGAAAGCACTGTTTCGTTTTTTGAGATACTTAAGCCCATCACTACTCAGCAGAGGTTTACAAATCAACAGGTATGTTAATCTTCGAATAAATCAAAACGAGAAGGTAAAACAAACGATCATAGCTGATGACAGTCTAATTATCTCAATTATCTCGATTGCATAATTTAATTGATTTGTTAATTGATCCCATTGTCAGCAATCTACGAACAATGTTTTACCTTCTTTGAGTTACAAAAAGAATCTTTCTCGGTGTAACATAAATGCCAAGAAAGATTGTCGGCAATCTACGGTATAAACAATAATTGTCACTGTACAATCATGCGAGTATCACCATGAACACGTTTCAATGGTGTCGTACATGTGTATGTAATCTCGTGTGTTCTAATGATTTCTACATTACGAGATTCTGTGTCGTGTCGTTTACATTGATCTCAAAATTCTATGTACTGTTTACAAGTAATATCTTTAAATTTTAATTTCTCGCTAAGTACCTCTATTATGGCTGCGTAATTCGAATATCCAAATATCGATAACACTCGAATTCCAAGAACTCAAAATATTCGTATCATTAAAATAGTGAAATTCGGATTTGAACTTTGAAAACTTAAATATTCAAATTATTTGAGTACTAATGGCACTCAAATTCGAATATTTGAATACCATTTCAGCGCGTGGTAATTCAGTGCGTAGTAATTCCACGCGTGGTAATTCAGTGCGTAGTAATTCCACGCGTGTAGTCCAACGCATAGTATTTTCACGCATGGTAGTCCAACGCATAGTATTTTCACGCATGGTAGTCCAACGCATAGTAATTCAGTGTGTGGTAATTCCACGCATGGTAATTCAATGCGTGGTAATTCTCGTAATTCCACGCGTGGTAATTCTACGCGTAGTAATTCCACGCGTGGTAATTCAGTGCGTGGTAATTCTACGCGTCGTAATTCCACGCGTGGTAATTCTACGCGTAGTAATTCCACGCGTGGTAATTCAGTGCGTGGTAATTCTACGCGTCGTAATTCCACGCGTGGTAATTCTACGCGTAGTAATTCCACGCGTGGTAATTCAGTGTGTGGTAATTCTACGCGTGGTAATTCAGTGCGTAGTAATTCCACGCATGGTAATTCAGTGTGTGGTAATTCCACGCATGGTAATTCAATACGTTGTAATTCGATACGTGATAATTCGACGCGTGGTAATTCGATACGTGATAATTCGACGTGTGGTAATTCGACGCGTTGTAATTCGATACGTGGTAATTCGATACGTTGTAATTCGACGCGCAGTAATTCGATACGTGGTAATTCGACGCGTGGTAATTCGACACGTAGTAATTCCACGCGTGGTAATTCTACGCGCAGTAATTCGGTGCGTGGTAATTCTATGCGTAGTAATTCCACGTGTAGTAATACCAGAATTCAAATTATTCGAACACTAATGGTACTCAAATTCGAATATCCAAATACCAGAATTCAAATTATTCGAATATCTCAGCACTACTAAAATAATTTCAGCATTTGTATATTCGAATACCAGAAAAGCTCAGATCAGAAATTCTAAACTTCAAATATTCGAATGTTCGAATACCAGCCCAGATTTATAATTCGAACACTCGAATACCATCGAGTACTTCAATTTTTACAGCTCTACTCCCTACACATATTATAATTTCTAGTGCAAACAAGAAACGTTAAGGTGTTGCATGTGAAATACATTGTGGTAAATTTACAGTTTATATTTCATGTTGGTAATTGCAAAAATGATTGTTCTCGTATAATGTTCATGGTGGAGATTTGGAGAGTTTTATGGTTTCTCGTTAACAGGACTCCCACCTCTTCATTTTGGCGCGGGATTTAAAAGATTCCGATTTTATTAGAAATAACTCGGGGTTTGGTAGCAAAAAATTTTCCATCCCGGCATTTTTATTGCGATCTCTGTATTTTATGACACCGGGTGGCAATCCTGTTTGATTATAGTTAACACGTTGACTGACACGGTGAAAATGGCACGTCGTAAAACACTATATCAGTTTTGGAATTTATAATATTACTCATATGTGATATGTGAAGTTTCATAAGAAAGATTTTTATTAAAATTGATCAAAAATAATTTTGTTAAATAATTAAGTTTGTTGTTCACTAGAGAGGATGAAATTAGGCCAGCAACTAAATTTGTGGACCACATATCTTTTTGTCACAAAATTCACCAAACATCATATTATTTCTTAAATTTTTACAAGAATCTGTTATTTATTCCAGCATGAGGATTTTTAGTCAGATTAATCAAAAATAAGTTTGTTAAATAATTAAGTTGTTCATCAAAGAGGATAAAATTAGGCCAGCAACTAAATTTGTGGACAGCATATCTTTTTGTAATAAAAGTCACCAAACATAATATTATTCATTAAATTTTCACAGGAATCTGTTATTTATTCCAGCAGAAAGATTTTTAGTTAGATTAATCAAAAATAAGTTTGTTAAATAATTAAGTTTGCTGTTCTTCAAAAAGGATCAAATAAGGTCAACAACTAAATTTGTGACTTTCATATCTTTCCACTTAAAAATTCAACATTTTTGTAGGAGAATAAATATTTCGTATCATGGACAATTTAAAAAAATGTTAATTTGAACAATTTTTATATAAGAAATACATAAAAGTCCTCAGTGTAGAAATTACATTTTAAAATCAATAGAAATAAAATTACAAATTTAACAAATTTTCAATGTACATATTTAACAAATTTTAACGTATACATTTAACAAACTTTCAGTTTATATATTTTACACAACTTCAATTTATATATTTGACAAACCTTCAATTTATATATTTAACAAACTTCAATCTACAAATTTAACAAACTTCAATCTACATATTTAACAAACTTCAATCTACATATTTAACAAACTTCAATTTACATATTTAACAAACTTTAATTTATATATCTAATGAAATCAATTTTAACATAATACAATTTGAACATAATACACGCATAGTACATGATAAATTAAAAAATTCCATCCCTAATTTTTCTGCGTCCTTTCCATACAATAATTGGGCCAAACTCTTTCAAATTTAATTACACTAAAATTGAATTATCATAAATAAAACCACGTATTACTATAAAATTGAATCGCCATGTTAGTCAACGCGTGATGATGCAGGAAAAAGGTATTCACATATAGTCAGCATTGCACCTAGCATGATCAGAAATCCGAGGATTCCTCACAAACGAGAAAGAAGGAACAATTTCTTTCTCTGTCAGCGTTCAAAAGATCGTGTGTTACATTTGAGGCTTCATCGCGAAGCGTAGTCGGGCGGATGCCTGGACGGATACGATAACAAGTGTGTCATGCACCGAGTGACGATATTCGCGAAAAAAATAAGTACAAAGTCTTTATTCTTCTTTCTTAACCGATATCGGTTTCGTCGGCAAATGAAAATCAAACGGAAAGCTGTCTTTGAGCGTTGCTACTGGGTCAGATCGTCAAACGAGACAACCGATTTACTTCTACATTATTTGTATTTTGAACATTTTACATTTTAAATATTTTATATTCTGAAAAATTTCATATTTTGAAATCGGATGTTTTGTATCGAGACGATCTAACAATACGTACAAGAAAAATCGATAAAAATTAAAGAGGGGAGACACGCAAAACTGAGGATTATCTATCTAGCGATTTGGTGTAGGTATTTGGGATGGTATTAAGTGGTTTGTTTATTGCATACCTGTCGTTACCGTGCCTGAATAAAGCTAGAATTTCCTCGAACGTTTTATTCTTGGTCTCAGGAACCTTCTTGTACGTGAAGATCCAGAAGATGGCTAGGAATGCACTGAATGGTAGGAACGTGTAGTTTTCAAGGCTAGTCTGTAACACAACAAAACGAGGGGGTCAGTTTATAAATAGCGAAATGTCAATCGTCTTGCGCAGAGATCTGCTTTTCTACTGCTTAAAAATGCGAGAACCGTTTAAATTTGACTGCTCGAGGCTTCCGGGTGTGTGGACAAGTCTTTCTTCGAAGATCGAGTGCTTAGAATGGGACTGTGTAGTAACATGAGATACAGTTTCATTCATTGAGATTTGGAGGTATACGTAAATCACATTGTGGACTTTTTTGTTTATATGAGGAAGATTGTGGAATATTTAGGAAGTTCTAGCGAATTTAGGAATTACTTATTTCAAATTTTACTTATATCAAATCATATGAAATTTGTAAATCAGTCACTTATGTCAAATTTACTAGTCAGTCACTCATATCAAAATTATTGGTCAGTCAAATTTACCAAAATTACTAATTAATCATTTTTATAAAATTTTACAAATCAATCACTTATATTAAATTTACAAACCAGTCAATTTTACCAAATTAATAAGTCAGTCATTTATATGAAATTATAAAACCAGTAATTTATACCAAAATTATTAGTCAGTCAGTCAATTTTACAAAATTTATTAATTAGGCATTTTCATCAAATTGTACAGTCACTCACATCAAATTTACAAATCAGTTGATTTCACTAAAATTTACAAGACAGTCACTTACATCAAATTACAAAGTCAACAATTTATGTCAAAATTGTCAGTCAGTCAATTTTACCAAAATTATTAATTACTGACTTTTATTAAATTTACAAATCAGTCACTTATATCAAAATTACTAGTCAGTCACTTATATCAAAATACAAATTTTAATTATATTTAACAAGAAGTAGAATGGTGTATGTGAATTTCTTATAGTTATACTACTTTTCTAGAAACAAATATAAGTGAATGAATGAGTGAGTGACTGAATGCATGAATGAATAAATGAGTGAATGACTGAGGGAAAGAGTGAATGAGCTACTGAGTTAGTAAGAGATTCAGTAATTGGGCAACTGAGTTAGTGAATGACTGGATAAGATAGTGAGTGTGTAAATGAGTGAGTAAGTGTGTGACTGAGTAAATAAATTAGTGATTGAGTGACAGAGTAAGTGAGTACGTGAGTGACTGAATGAGTGAGTGAGTGTGTAAAGGAGTGAGTAAGTATGTGAGCGAGTAAATAAATTAGTGAGTGAGTGAATGAGTGACTGAGTAAGTGAGTGAGTGAGTGAGTGAGTGAGTGAGTGAGTGAGTGAGTGAGTGAGTGAGTGAGTGAGTGAGTGAGTGAGTGAGTGAGTGAGTGAGTGAGTGAGTGAGTGAGTGAGTGAGTGAGTGAGTGAGTGAGTGAGTGAGTGAGTGAGTGAGTGAGTGAATAAATGAGTGAGTGAGTGAGTGAGTGAGTAACTAAATGAATGAGTGACTGAATGAGTGAGTGAGTGAGTAAATAACTAAATGAGTGAGTGACTGAATGAGTGAGTGAGTATGTAAAGAAGTGAGTAAGTATGTGAGCGAGTAAATAAATTAGTGAGTGAGTGAATGAGTGACTGAGTAAGTGAGTGAATGAGTGAGTGAGTGAATATATGAGTGAGCGAGTGAGTGAGTAACTAAATGAGTGAATAACTGAATGAGTGAGTGAGTGTGTAAAGGAGTGAGTAAGTATGTGAGCGAGTAAATAAATTAGTGAGTGAGTGAATGAGTGACTGAGTAAGTGAGTGAATGAGTGAGTGAGTGAATATATGAGTGAGCGAGTGAGTGAGTAACTAAATGAGTGAATAACTGAATGAGTGAGTGAGTGTGTAAAGGAGTGAGTAAGTATGTGAGCGAGTAAATAAATTAGTGAGTGAGTGAATGAGTGACAGAGTAAGTGAGTAAGTGAGTGAGTGAGTGAGTGAGTGAGTGAGTGAGTGAATAAATGAGTGAGCGAGTGAGTGAGTAATTAAATGAATGAATAACTAAATGAGTGAGTCTTACCTTCATACTTGGAAAACCAATGCCAACCAAAAAATTAGCCATCCAATTGACAAGAACCGCGATAGACATGGCAGCAGGTCTAGGACCTTGGGAGAACAGCTCGGCGGTGATCATCCAAGGAATGGAGCCAGGTCCGACAGCAAAGAACACCACGAAACTTAACGTCGACACGACCGACAGATAAGACATCCAGTCAATCATTTCCTGCACATAACCGAAAAACTCCTATCAGGCAGTAGAATCGTGTTCGTCTTTCCTGAGCAGCCGGAGGAGTCTCGTCTCAGGAGAACAAAATCGTAAAACCTATAGAAAAACTAAACGACGGAGAAAACAAAAACGTTACAGCATGCATTTGTGCAGCTCAACCCTGTGTCAAGGCGATGATGCGATTGCAACAATGCGAACGTGCTCTGTTATATGGTTACGCTTCCGTTCAAAGGTCATAACACACCTATTAGTACTTTATTAGTGTTTCATGGTGGGAAATAGCGATATGGTCAAAGGGGAATTTGCTAGTACAAGTTTAGTTTGCTGATTTCCAAATTTCCACACTTCTAAATTTCCAAATTCTCAAATTTCCAAATTTCTAAATTTCTGAATCCCCAAATTTCCACACTTCCAAATTCCCACGTTTCCAAATTTCCACACTTCCAAATTTCCACGCTTCCCAATTTCCACGCTTCTAAATTTCCACACTAACAAATTCCCAAATTCTCAAATTTCCAAATTTCTAAATTTCCAAATTTCCAAATTTCCAAATTTTCAAATTTCTAAATTTCTGAATCCCCAAATTTCCACACTTCCAAATTTCCACGCTTCCCAATTTCCACGCTTCTAAATTTCCACATTTTCGAATTTTGAAATTCTCAAATTTTCAAATTTTCAAATTTTTAAATCCCCAAATTTCCAAATTTCTAAATCCCTAAATTACTAATTCTCTAAATTCCTAAGTTCCTTTACCTCTCAATACGTATACCCTAAATTCCTGTATCCCTAAATCCTCGTACCCCTAAACCTCTATACCCCTAAATTCCTATTCCCCTAAATCCCTATTCCCCTAAATCCCTATACCTCTAAATCCCTATCCCCCTAAATCCCTGTACTCCTAAATTTTCATATTCCTAAATCCCTACCCCCTAAATCCCTGCTCCCTAAATCCCTAAACTAGCAAATTTCTTACACAATCTTATATCAAATCTTCCCAATCAATATAAAAATACTAAAATATCTACCACTTATCATCCTCCACATAATTCTCTATTTTAATCTTCTCTTCCTTACACAATTACATATCTACTTAAAAGTACATATTTCAAACAAAATTAAAATATACAAAGAACCACTTTACACGAGTCTACATGATTTAATTAATTACCATATATTAAATGTACCAAATCAGATAAGTGTTCCATGACTTTTGAACAGAAGCGTATATTTACATTAAACACATCTTCCATTTAAGCGATCAAGCATATGACTGGCTAATTTCGACGCAAGGAGTACCAGGACACGTTGCTCGGACTTTAACCAACGTTTACGTCAAAACAAAACTATCTTCATAATTATAAATTGCCTCTTAAAATTACGTATTAGCATTTTACACGAATCTGTAACAAGAGTAGGTGAACTGTTAGTGCTACACAATTTGGTGTACACAATATCGATTAATTTCGACTATTTAGAATGTTTTTTTATATGTATAAGATACATATATAGATATTACGTGACAAAGGGTGACAGGTTTGAGCCAAAACGTAGACTAATAATAATAGGGAGTAATTGTCTCCTCCAGGCAGTCACGAAAGAGGCCGTTAGTAAGAAGGGAGGGGAGGGACTGGGAAAGGACAGGGGTCATAAAAAGCACATTAAGCTTAAGCAAATAAATTATAATGCATACATTGTTAATATTTGACACATTACGATTTGTGAATGTCTGTTCTTTTTTTTGTGTGTGAACTAATAAATGTTAGACTGAGGTGATGTGGAGTAATGGATATACTCATTTCAATTGCATTTTGGAGTAAGTATATAAATCTAGTTTATTTTAATTACTGAGGAATACATAAGAAAAGTGATAAAATCGAGGTTTACAGAGTAACATGTCAAATTTAAAAATGTTTATATCATGTGATTTTAATATTCCTAAAGTAAGATTTATAAATTCTGAAATATCAAAATTTTTTAATTTTCTCAACCAAATTTGCAAATCCTCAAATTCTCAAATTTCACATGCTCCTAATTTTCAAATTTTCAAATTTTTACAACCCCCAAATTTTCAAACCCTCTAATTCCCAAATTCTCAAATTTTCAAATCCTCAAATTCTCAAAATCCTCAACTTCTCAAATCTCCAACTTCTCCAATTCCCAATTTCTCAAATCCCCAAATTCTCAAATCTCCAAGGTCTCAGATCCCCAAGTTCTCAAATATCCAAATTTTCAAATTCCCAAAATTCTCAAATCCCAAAATTCTCAAATTCCTATATTCTCAAATCCCTAAATTCTCAAATTCCCAAATTCTCAAATCCCCAAATTTTCAAATCCCCAAATTCTCAAATTCCCAAATTCTCACATCCCAAGGTCTCAAATCTCCAGCTTCTCAAATCCCTAATTTCCCAGATCCCCAAGTTCTCAAATTTCCAAATTCTCAAATTCCCAAAATTCTCAAATTCCCAAAATTCTCAAATCCCAAAATTCTCAAATTCCAAAATTCTCAATTTCCAACTTTCCAACCCCCAAATCCCTAAACTCCCAAATCCCCAAATCCGCAAATCCCTAAATACCTAAACTCCCAAATCCCCAAATCCACAACCCTCCAAATCCCCATATCTCTCCCCAAATTTCCACCTCCAAAATTTCCCAAATTCTCAAACCTCCGCCCTCGAATTACCAATCCAACTCTAAACAATTGCACACACAATTACCATCATAACCAATTAAATTGCTCGCAGTTAATCCTATGCGTCAAATGAGTAACATGTTGTAACGTCGAATATGCAACTAAGGAAAAACATGCGGGAATTCGGAGAGACCTTACAAGTTACATGAATGATAGGGAGAAATAAAAGTGATACGTTCAGATGCATATTTATATACGTAAAAGTGGTGATAACTCTCACTGTCGGTGCAGTGCCGCACTCCAGCTGTGAACAAAGTGTTAGATACACCTTTTCGCCAAGGTGCATGAAGTGACAAAGCACAAAGAGATAGCTATATACAGTCCACGTTTCTCTGTGGCTTAATTAATGTCCCGAGAGATCTTGATATTTTCTTCAACTTTCTACGTTAACAAGTAATCGGATTCGATACGCTAAATTCCACTTTCTTTAATCTGAAGCTGATTTTGTTATTTAATTAATATCGACAGTCAAAATTGTTACAGCTCATTTATTATTATAGTTAAATAGCTCTCGATACGCGATTACATTTAATTAGCATATATGGCTTATGTGACCCGTAACCTTCGAATGAATTGCGTTGCAAAATAGCTCGACTCACCTTTATCAGAAAAGAAATTGTGATGAATATTGAAAAGATAAACATGCCACCAAGACCGTACAAGTGGAGCGTACGCCTTCCGGTTCTATCCATAAGCGGGATGGATACTAACGTCATACAAACCATAATGGCACCTATGCCAATGGTTGCAAACTTGGCACTCTCCTCTGTCAAACCAGAACTAGTGAACAAATTTGTCGAATAGTAAAACACCTGAAAACAGACATCCAAAATAATTACTTCTCTTTTTATTTATAATAAAGACAAAAAATTACACTTTTTATGTCATTTGTTATATTAGGTTTAAATGGGTGACATGATTTTAATAATGATTGTGAATAATTAAAATTTCTTTTATTATTAGATAATGACTCAAATTTTTGTCATAAATAAACAGTATCAATAAGGGAAATTTAATTTTGTTTATAAGTAGTTAATACAGATGGCTGAAATTTATATTTGGTTATCAATAATCATTATTGATGACATTTAGGCTTTGGTTTATATTATACAATTCAGTTAGGGAATTTTATTAGTACTAACCTAAATAATCTAACCAAATTTTACTTTATATCTATGTTCATCATTCAAATTTGTACTTATACTTCAAGCTTGATTTAACATAGTTTAACCTTGTATAAACTTCAAACTTAACTTAACATAGCTTAGTGTAACCCAACTTCACCTTATACTCTATTCATTCCCAAATCATTCCTAACCTAAATGACCTAACCTAATTTTACTTTATTATGTTCATCATTCAAGTCTGTACTTATACTTCAAGCTTGATTAAACATAATTTAACCTTGTGTAAACTTCAAACTTAACTTGTTAGTGTGACCCAACTTTACCTTATACTGAATTCATTCCCAAGTCATCCCTAACCTAAGTAACCTAATCTAATTTAATTTTATTATATTCATCATTCAAATCTGTACTTATACTTCAAACTTGATTTAACTTAATTTAATCTTGTACCATCTCCTAACCTAACTTAACATAGCTTAGTACCCAACTTAACCTTACACTCAATTGTCCCTAACCTTATCAAACTCATCTATACTTTTTTATACTTGTAACCAAACAAATTTTAGAGCCAATGTTGGTTAGAAAATAAATAGAAAGACTTCTAGCTTTCCATAATAATTACTAATAACAGAAATAAAGTTTTCTGGTTATAAACAGCCATCACTAGTCCATTATTGATCCAGTATCCATTACTGACTTGCATCCAAACTACAACTTCATGTACTACAACGCCACGTACTCATCATCGGTAACATTCCATCATCAATTTATCACTAAAACAAATTTTACCCAAAGATTCCTCAAAATCCTCCACATCAGTAACAAAAATCATATCAAAGACCGTTACACAACCTTTAAAACAGTTCTTACAACTTTGCTGCCTGAAACACAAAGCGCAAATCTCTCAAGCCAGTACAGAGATATCGGTATTTTCTTGAACTAGGTTGTTTCACAACTTAAACGGCGAAACTTTCCCGCGCATGATATCCCTATTCGTAGCCGTTAACGTTATAGACACTAAATTTATAGCGGTCCTCGCTACTTACAGCATTAATGCCTGAAAGCTGTTGGGAAAGTTGCATAACCACACCGATAACAAGGGGTGCTCTTAAAGTCGGGCTACATATGAGCTCTGTCATCGATATTCGAGACTCGGCTTGTTGAGCCCGCTCTTCCGCTCTCATTTCCTCGATGTCTTCCTCCACTTGGTTACTGGCTCTCAACCTTCTCAAAGCTTTACGCGCTTCTTCCTCCCACTGTTTGGTAATGAGCAAATATCTGAAGCACGTTCGAAAACAATCATATTATTTTACATATTTAAATCTTATTCAAAGGAGCTTGAAGGTTTATCTTGATTCAAGGTTTAACTTGATTCAAGGTGTAACTTGATTCAAGGTTTAACTTGATTCAAGGTTTAACTTGATTCAAGGTTTAACTTGATTCAAGGTGTAACTTGATTCAAGGTTTAACTTGATTCAAGGTTTAACTTGGTTCAAGATTTAACTTGATTCAAGGTTTAACTTGATTCAAGGTGTAATTTCATTCAAGGTTTAACTTGATTCAAGCTGTAACTTGATTCAAGGTTTGACTTGATTTAAGGTTTAACTTGATTCAAGGTGTAATTTCATTCAAGGTTTAACTTGATTCAAGGTTTAACTTGATTCAAGGTGTAACTTCATTCAAGGTGTAACTTCATTCAAGGTGTAACTTCATTCAAGGTTTAACTTGATTGAAGGTGTAACTTGATTGTCAAGGTACTTTGTCAAGGTTACCCTTTGCATTCAAAGAAGTACACACTCTACTTTTCTATTGCAAAGTTTGAAGTTATTTCCCTATTATTAATCAGTCGACCATTGTCAATTTCTCAGTGTTTATTTACTACATATATAACATTGTAGATTTAGTTAAAAATCTATTTCAAACCTAGTAGGTCATCTTTTGAATACAAACAGTCAAATCCTATTCAAATTATTCTTCAACACTGTACATTGTACTGTATTTTGAAAGCTGAAACTTTTTGATAGTACATATGATTGATATCTAAAAGAAATATGAATTTTAGCTGCGTAAGCCAGATACAAACTGGGATGAGGCAGTCTACCTTGGAGATTCAGGGCAAACTGGAAGCAGCAACAACTGTAGAATGGCAGGGCAGATAGCTAGCCCTAAGAGAACCGGCCAACCATCGTTCGTTCCAAGGATTTGCTCGATGCCCAGCACCTGGGAGACCAGGAGGCCCACCGTAACAGCGAGCTGGTTCACCGTGCCTAGGCCGCCTCTCAGGTTCAATGGTGCTATCTCCGATATGTACATGGGAACCAGCGAGGTGTTTAAGCCACAATTGACACCAATGATGAACCGTCCGAAGAACAACATTTCGTATGCCTGAGCAATTTTTGTACAACCCATCAGGCACGCCCCCACGATGCCCAGCACGTTGTTTAGCAGTAAGCCCCCCTTTCTGTCAGCGAATCGAAACAGACAAAAATAAATATCAGCGAACAATTTTTGTATCAATCATTTTTGTTGTAACGATTTCGGATCGGTTCAGAAAATACCACATTTTTGGTGCTTGTGTGTGATGATGTTTCTGTTACTTCTTAGTGTTTATTAGAGTCAAAAGCAAGGTTGACTAAACGCTAGGGAATATACTAGGAATCCTGAAGTACTATGGTTCTTATGAAATAAATTGTTAATTATTTCACTTAATAGTTTTGTGTAATTTTATTTTTCAAATCTGCTATTCACAAATTTTTGTGTATAAATCTTAAAATTCAATGAATAAAGAAAAATGTTACAAAAGTTTATGATCACTACAAACAGTTTTGTAGTAACAGCTTTAAGTAACAGTTTTAAGAACAAATTTGTTCAATGTTTTTTCAAGACAATTTTTTAACAATTCCATTAATTTTGCAGCTCTTAGTACATTTTTGTAGTAACAGTTGTAACAGTTTTAAGAAAAAAGTTCAATTTTTTAGAAATACTATTAACTGTGCAGCTCTCAGTACATCAAATTTTTATCCAAAATAATTTATTATATTTTACTGGCCCTGCTAACCTTTTGAAGTTAGTTCCTTGGAGTGAATGTAAATAAAATAGTGCTGTCTTTGATCAAATTTAAAATTGACAAAAAATGTGGCATTTCTTGAATTGACCAAGATGTCCTGTATAATTCAGAGTCTAGCCTAACCTTTTAATGTGGATCTGGCGCGTACAGAGCTCTAGCGTAATTACTGGTAAAAATTGGGAAATGAAAATGTACAAACCTGCCAAATCTGTTGGCAATTATTCCTCCACTAAAACCACCAAGCATACCACCGATTGCGAATATGCTCACTGCCACGGAATACAATTTCTTCACGGAGTCGTCTGAAATGTCCTCTCCGTACCTGTCCTTGTATACGTCTTTCATAAAATTTTCAATATTCTGAAACAATCGTAAAAACAAAACAATCGTACGTTCAAGTATTATAGCTATGGAAGTTCCTATTATTTATGATCTTTATTATCGACAATTGCTTGAGTGTTTTTGATGAAGTAATTAAAAGGACTCCCCGCAATTTCAGATTCTTATGAAAATTATTTATGATCGATACGAACTCGTTGGATAATGAAGTAATAATGGAAATAATATTTTAAAACGTACCACTTCCGGCGCATTAATGACTCCAGTGTTGTATCCAAACTGCAACATCCCTAAAACTGCTGCCAGTATTGCATACGACAGGAAAAGCGTTAGCCCCTGAAAACATCATCGAATTATCGTTTGAGTCCACAAACAGCAAGCACAGCGCAAACAAAATAGCAGCCATTAAAAGATACTCTACAAAAAAATAAGTTAACAGGCACATGATCAAATAAAACGATGAAAGGTTGAAATAAAACCACGCCAAACAGTTCTAATGGTTTATTAAAAAATCCTTTGGTATGCTATAAAATCATAGTATGCTACAATGAACATGAGATGCACAAATCAAATCTAAATCAAACGTAATGTTAAACGATTTACATCTTACAGAACCAAACACAACTGATGATTATGTACATAAATAAACAGCCATCAAAAGCGTTTCATCGTATCGCAAAAATAAAATTGCCACACACAAAATAAACGGAATTAAAGGAAAACATTCTGATCGTAAAGACAAGCGTCACCTGCTCCAAAAGTCTAAGTTTCCGTCGATGTGAATGTTCTTCGAGTCGATCCACGTATTCTCGTAATTCCTCTATCTCTTCTTTCACCTGTTGTACTGTATCTAGTTCTTGCTGCGTGACATTAGGAAATACAATTTAGCAACAGATTTAGATTTCAATTCTAACAGTTTCGCTTGGGCGCAGATTTCAAGTTTTTAGGTTAAAAGCGTTTAAAGAACTTTGCGGTGAAAATCGGTTACTGTCAGTCGAAATTTATGGGAAAACGAAGTGTAAGTGAAGGGGAATGGTTTGAATAGGCCATTCTTTAGATTGAATGAAAAAGAACATTCTGAACTGCTCTTAGAATAGTTTGAATTAATATACAATTTTAATATTGCAAAATATTTTTATTTGCTCGCAGATAATTTTTATTTAATTTAGGGACTTAGGTCCTGATTTGTTAATTCATGGTTAAGTTAAAACTAATGGAATATACAAGGTGTCTCACAACTAGTGTCCCTAAAATAATATCTTGACATTTAAAGAATATTAAAAAATCTCAATATATCTCAAAATAGAGAGAGTCTCAAAATATCCAGAATTATTCTTAGTCATTCAATATAAAAATAAATTTGATCTATTCCCCTTCGAAGGGATATCCGTCATCAATTGTACGATAGACCGACAGTACCTTGATCGCGACCATGTCCCGTTTGACCTCGCTGACCTCGCTCTGGCAAGACTCTACGCTCTTGGTGAGTTCCTGCAGCTGGGTGCGGATCTCGCAGAGGGCGACGGTGGTCTCCAGCTGGCGGTCACCCCGCTGCAGCTCGTCCAGCTTGGCACTCAAGTTCATACTCATAACGCTGACCTGTTTCTGCAGACTGCCCACACACACATACCCTCACGTGAATCTCACTGGCTCGCCCGGGAAAGCAAATCGACATTGTCGAACACATTGAACAACACTAGACGATCAAGGCTAAACTCTATGATGCCTAGTCCCCTAAACAGAAGTATCCATCTACCTCCGCGCCGGACAACTGCCGAGCCTTCTCTTAGCGTGCGCTTCTCTCTTTTTCTTTTAGCACGAATTAACGTGTACTTTATGTGACATGATGATGAATGATTCTTGACGGTGCGATTATTTGGTACGGTGTGAAGCGTGGTGTTTTTGGGAATATGTGAATGGGATTCTTACGTTATGATTTAGTTAGTGAGAGTTTGACTTCTTGTGTTTGGATATAGGATATGTGAAGTTTGCATGGTATACAAGGATTTAGAAGTGTGATGCATACAGAGGTACATAGTATAAGCATGTGAGTGTATGGAGGAAAAGGAATATAAAGATCTATGTGAAGAGTATAAAGATCTATGTAAAGAATATAGAGATCTATATAAAGAACATGAAGACCTAGAAATACTGATAATAATGTATAGAAATTTACTGATGTAGTGAATCACAAGAATTGATGTTAATCTAAGAGTTATGGAATGTGTAAATCTGGAGTCTAGCAACCTAGAAATCTAGCGATATCAATATTCCGAAATCTAATACAGACCTACAAGTATACAAGAATATGGGGATGTAGAGGTATAGAAATTAAGAGATTTAGGTGTATGAAGATATAGAACACTAGAGTTAGAAATCTAGAGATCATAGGTAGATCAAAGAGATATAGAGATCAAAGGACACAAGAATATGGGAATACAAGGGTACAGAAATGTGGGGTATAGAAATCCCTTTCCACATACCTACACATGTTCACAGCAAAAATATTAATGTCTGCAAGATAAAAATATCTGTGAGTCATATCCCTAACTAGTCATTTTCCCGAAGACCTACCAGGCTCCACACCATACGTACACCATTTTGTAAAAATGTCAGCGAGCCAGCGGTAGCTCGGCAGCTAAGGAAACGTTGGGTATACGAGTAGCGTGTAAACAGATATACAAGACACATATAGATATGTATGATATATGTATACATATATATATTATATTCTGTCTATGTATAGAAATATAGAGATATACATATGATTGAATTGACAAAGTAGCACAACGTACAAACGCCACTAAAAGCACGTCTAAATTGTGTGTAAGTGAGTGTCCAGGGTGAGAAACACTACGGTGATGTAGAGATACATATATATAGAAATATATATATGTTTAAATATATATACATAATTGTTAGAGCTGTGCACATTAGATGGAAGTTTGTGAAGGTGAGAAAAAAATGGGAACTATGGTCATCCCGTTTTATATAAAGTTACCCCCGTTACCACCCGTACTATAAAATCGAATCGGTGTTCGTTTATGGCCGCGTTTAGAATCACGATCGTTTTCCCATTAAACGATTTACAGCTTCGGCACACGCGAAGCGTGATCATCTACGATACACGATGCGGGAATGTGCAAGTGTGATTAAAGAATGATTCCGATGCTCGTTCAATTCGAAACGTTGCATGTAACGTGATTGAAATATATATATTATAAATAATATGCATTATATGATGATCTCTCGACTTGAAGGAGATTTGGCAAACTTGTCGATCGATGTGCACAGCCAAAAGCAGAACAGAAAAACAGGTGGTGTTTTTTAATTCCGGAAAGAGGAGGGTTCAAACGAAACAGAGAGCAAGAGAGTGTGAAAAATAGAGAAAAATTGACGCAAGGCAAGTCGAGTGACAGGTGAACAGTGAGAAATGAATGAACACATGACCCGTAGAAGAGAGAGATATGATAGAGAGGGTGATAAAGAAAGAGAATACCAAAGAAATATAATTGGAGAATCTGGAGGTACACTAGGATCAAAGTACACTGGTCTTCCAAAGTATTCCACCTTATTTTTTTTCCTTTTATACGGTTTAATTAAAATTTCATCTCTTAATAAAAATTGTTATAGAATAAGTTATTTTGGAGAATTATGTGCAACTTTCTTTTAACTATTCACACATGTTTCACACATGGTTCATACGTGGTTCACACGTAGTTCTGTTACACAACATGATATACATGGTACATTAATTTGGACGTTCAAGTTTGATGAAAATGACTATTCAAATGTGGTTCATGACTATTCACATATGGTTCATACATGGTTCACACATGGCTCATATGTGGTTCACACGTAGTTCTGTTACACAATATGATATACATGGTACATTAATTTGGACGTTCGAGTTTGATGAAAATGACTATTCAAATGTGTTTCATGACTATTCACATGTGGTTCACATGTGATTCATAGTGCAAGATAAATAGATTGCTGTATGCAATTGTACCTATATACCCTCGATTTATTTTATTATTTCAAATTAGGTAGCAATTCATTTTATTAAATTAGGTAAGAGTTTATCTGGTTGTTTTAAAAAAATCTTCAAAAAAGTTGTACAATATTAAGTATAATTAAAGCTAGCCCTATTCTAACCTAACTGCAACAAAATATTGTATTTATATTCTGAATGAAGTGGAGGTCTAACAAATTTCTGAACCACTTCAGTTACTTCAGTCGCTAATAGTTTTAGTTATGTCAGCTATTTTAATAATTAAGTTATTTTGGTTACTTCAGTTACTTCCATCGTTAACAATTATCTCAGTTACTTCATGAACAGTTTTCCCAATAGCTACATTGTCCATAGCCTATCTTAACCTATGAAGTGATTTATTTCATCCTGAAGACTCCTAAAATCCAGATGTGAAATACTTTGGATGATCAGAGTAGGAATAATAAAAGAAATGATAATAAAATAGATAATAAAATCTGACAGACAGAGAAAGATAGAGAAAGAAAGAGCAGTGATGATGTTGCCATGTACCTGGGAGGTAGGGAGACCATGGCTGTGTTCCGAAACTACAGTAGCCTCTATGCCTCCCCACTCACTCCTCTTGATTCAGTATTTCGTCTTATTCTCACAGATCTATTTGTTCTTTGCTTTGTTCACGACATATGTACGTACGTTGGATTATCCACCAAATCCAATCAATTGACTCTGAACGATTGCACAGCTTGTTGTCAAGTAGGTCCACAACCAAAGGTGGAGGGGTAACGTGTGGCGGGGGGTTTAAAGGCCGACGACGCCCGCCCCTGCCTCTTATCTCACTCACTCTGTAAAACTTTACCTAGTTTGGAAACACAGTCGTGGTTCAGTCAAATACATGTCATACAAATGGTATAGTCGCTCGAATTAGTCACGTGACGTCCAATTTATATCTTTTCTTTGAAAAAAAAAAGGACGGGTTCGTCACGTGCGTGAAGACTTGTATCGTCTCTTTTTTTTTTCTTTTTGATTTTCTTTCACTCGCGTACGCATCGCCATGCGACGCGCCGCCAGCTTACTCACCCCTGCCTAGTCGCCCGCGTCCACAAGCGAGCTTGCAATTTGAATGGGCCCATCACTTTCAATGCGAAACGACGATCGATCGGCAAAATAATTCACAAAAATCAGCATGATATCATGAGTGATAAATAGTAACAGAGACACGCACACAAATAAGTCACAAGGATGACACATCGAAGTAACGAGTGTATCGGAACAGTTAGGATACTAAGGAAACTTTGTTTCTGTTGTTTACAAGGAGAATACGTGTGTAGGTTTAGTACCTAGGTTGTTCAATGATGGGATCAAGTTAGAATTTTTCTAAAAAAGTTCTTCGATATAGGGTGGTTTAGCAATACCTAGTACTTGTTACTAAACAGGTCAAAAAATTAGGACTCTCAATTTTCAACATCTCTTGTGTTTTTAATAAAATTTGAAGACTACAGAAATTCTTTACAAACTTTAATAGCTGATACTTTCCGCACATATATGTTAATAATTTGTATACTGTTTATATACAACAAACTTTCACTTAAATAAAATATTAAAATAATAAAATAAGGAAACAGATAATTTGGACTAGAAAACAATAACCATAGTGGCAGACTAATATAGTGAGTAGTAATAGAATAACAATATAGTACTATAATAGTATAATAGAATAATCAAGTAATAGTATGGTAAACTAATTAAATATCACAGTATAATGGAATAGTGAAATAGTAAAAATTATACAAATTAGAAAATAATAAAAATACTAAAAATTAAAATAGTAGAATAGTAGAGAATAGACTAGTGGAGTAGAATGGTAGGTTAGAATGTAAAATAGTAATTGAAAATTATGGTCTTAATTTTTTGCTAGGGGTTGTGAATAGAAAAATATATAAAAATTTAACATTTATTTTTTTTATATATTAGATAATATATTTGTCGTTATTATGTATTATTAAATTAACAAAAATATGATTTATATGATTTCCCTATATTAATACCCTGTCATTAATGCAATACTAATTTTTAAACATTTATAATGATTAAAGAATTTCAAATTATTTGCCAATACTGAGAGTGCTTTTTGGAAAACTATTATAAATCCATAAATCCCCAAATTTCCCAGATTCTCAAATTTAAACATTCCCAAGTATTTAATTATTAAATTAAAAATTTTGTTGTTCGACAGAACATAAAAAGTTTACAGTAAATGTATTATTTAATGTATTACATTAAACATGTATTGTATTTACAAATGTAACGAAAAATTCAGATGCTAAAAATGGCGTCCATATTCCAACAACCTATCATCCCTCTACTTAAAAATAATTACCAATTTCCCAAAATATAAATGGTAATCGATTCAAACATTCAAATCAATTAGCTCGAGTCTACTTGATATCAACAGCCCTAACCAACTCTAGTTTCCAATTCTACTTGATCCCATCAGGTTCCATTCAACGTTGAAACTCTATTCTCTTTTACCTTGAAACGAACAAAATTCCATTACGGTGCTTCACACATAGCTTGTGTACAGAGAGACAATGATCAGTGAAACGGTCATATACCGTGCT